CATGTCTTAGCCTTAGCAATAGCCTTAGAGCCTTCGTAGAGCGAAGTGGTTTACGAAATACCTTATATACTAACAAATAAGACAAATTTTAAAGCTAATATCAGCACGCCACTAGTGCGGTAGCCAAAGAAACCGCTAACCGATTCTTTTTCGTCATTTAATATTCAACAACTCTTGAGCTCTTTTTGATTTTGCAAAGAGGCACTGGCGCCACTCTATTTCACAATTCCATAAATATGCAAACAAAAAAATGGAAAAATAATGACAGCAGGAATGCATTATCGCTGATGATCGATTACTTATCGGCATTTCACTTGTGCGTTTGTAGCTGAAAGCTAAAGGAGTCCGTTGCCCATTTGAGATGTCAAAACCCTCTGACACTTAAACGGAAGGCGCTTTTGAAAACCCCACAAATCTTTTTTGTTTTTATTGAATATTTGTGCTGTAGACATTGACTAATTATCGGAAGCCGAATAATAAAAAATTACTGGTTTTGTGCGGGCATATGCATTTATTTGCGCAGAGTGTGTAAATATCCATTGCCGCTAACACAGTGCAATAACTGGATAGACTTTCTTCACATATAATATATGAATATTTGATATTTTGACAATATTTCCTATTTGATAAACATTTAGGTACGTGCTTGTGCTGTCGTATTATCCCGAAACCTTATGATTTTATAAAACAGTAACTCCAACAGCAGCGTCACAAAACCTAAACTAAAGCCACAGCTCAAAAGTAGCGCTGTCATAGCTATATATTCTAGACCCAAAGGTCTGACACCGGAGCGTTCTTCTCTCGCATAATCAACATAACCCAAACGTATTGTTTTCTGGTTCGCTTCTTCCTTGAGCCGTTTGTATAGCCCAACGGCGAACATTTCTAGAGAATGTTTGTTGAAAAGCTCTTCTAAGGGCCAGCCCTCTTTGAGGGCATGCCCTGCCAGTGCGAAAAGTATCGGCTTGTCCAACTTTCGCATGATTGGGCGTCGCAAAAACTTTTGCTGGTAGTCGAATAGTTCCTGTGTTATCTCTGGATTCATATAAGCGTAGCGTGTGTCGAAATTATTGCGATGAACTAGAAATTCCTCATAGCTGACGATATGTAGGCGGTCGGCCACAATCGCTGGTACGCCATATTTTCTAAATACAAAATCTTGATACTCATGCCCCATAACGGTTATGTTGCTGCGCCGAAAATCTTGCAGCGTCCTAATTTGTGGCTCATAAACACTCTTCCCGAGTATGCTTGATAGGTACCCTATATACAAATTGCTAAGCATGAAACCGCTAATAAAGAGCGTTAGAAACATAAGCGACCGCAAGCGCGTTTGCATTGGCCGCAGATCAAACGCTAAATATAGAAAGCTTGCCCACACATCCACGCCCAACCGCCCGAAGTGCCACTCACCACGCTGCACTCGTGTTAAGAGCGCTGTGGCAAACGTCACCAAACAGATGCTGATACCGATGGCCTGCCACGCAGCCGCCTGAAAGGGCACTTGAAAGTAATACAGCTTGGAGAGTGGTGGCGCATAGCGTACCACTAAATGACAATTATATAATTGTAGTGGCGGGCTTACAATCACCTCTGCGCTGTACACAGCCCAATCGCTGCAAGCATCCACGAGATATGTCTGTAAAGTAGTATTAACCACACGCAGTTCTGGAAATGGTTCCAGAGTTAGTAGTTGAGCGCGCACATCTGCTACCAGTAAATTGTAGAAGCCATGCTGCCAATAAAGCGTGAAGAGTGTCAACCATATATCTGTTGCAGGTGTAAATTCCCGCGGCCAGTGGAACAGCACATCGGTGTGGTGCAAACGCTTTAGAGTGCCGAAGACTACACGATGCCAGCTTTGGTCCAACGTTGAAGTGTTCGCCAAGAAAAACACACTCAATATTTTTGTATCGTAAGTGTGCCTTATTTCGTAAGTTATATTTCTTGTAATTATGAGCTTCGACGCAGTCAAATTCTTTGTAATCGCTGCGAGTTGCGTTGCTGCATCGAAAGCATAGATAACGTTGGTTGTGGCACCTAAATACTCACTCAAATTATTCACTAAGTGCACAATGTCAGCGTGCTCTCCGCGACAGTGTAGAATTAGTAAGGTGTTGAAGAGAATCAATCGAAACATTCTTACTTTACGGAAATATATTTTGCGCTGACCGAAGAGCGCGAAATTTGCACTAAGAGGTTTGGTGGCAAAGCGTTTGCTTTTATATTTTGCGCCTAAACATTTTAATTTGCATACTATCTTTGTTGTAATACAATATCGAAAACTAATATTTAGCAAACTGACTAATTACTGATTACTTGCTGGTAATAGTAGATCACCTAGACCCAAAGGAGTCGTCATGGGATTAAATTATACATTAAATATGACTTACATGAGCTCGACTCGACTTTATGGTAATTAAAAAAATAATCGCTTTAGAAATTATATTTAGCAAGTAATGAAAGTTTTTTAGATTAAAAATAGAGTAGGCATTTATATAAAAATAATAAAATGTTGTTGTGAAAATACCTTAGTTTTTTTCTAACTTTCTCTCTCTCTCTCTCTCTCTCTCTCTCTCTCTCTCTGACACTGTTCTCATGATGGCTATGTATAAGGAAATTTATGAAGGATCCACTGAGATAAGAGCGTTCTTATTTTCTAACTATTTTAATATATTATATATAAAGCTTAAACGTGCTCAATCCGGTCGCTGCATTGGTTAATAACTTATACCGGGTGTTTGTTCCATGATTAGAGGTATATTTCAAGGTAAGATAAAAGAAAACCTCGGTTCTTATATAAGAATAGTCGGCATTAGCAAAAGCATTCATTATCTTTTTAAGTTTGGGACCTTCAAGATATATAACTGGAGTTTGAAAACTGTGCAGAGTAAACAATGGAACTTGTTTCCAACTTCATTTTTGATTCAATAGTCCTTTTCGTTATCTCAATGATTTTATGCTGGATCTTTCTTACTAAATTGGCTTTGCCGCCATTCGCTTTCATCTGATTTTAGTCATGACAGTTTATATATAACTATGCAATACAATTATTGCTAGTTCCTAAATTTTTTCTTATTCAAACTTGTGTATGCTACAAAATGCAAAATATTTCGGATTCGGTGGCTACATACGTTATGCCGTTGGTCTACTGCTTGGTCTTCCTGATAGATTGTCGATTTCTTTGGTTTTTGTTGTTTTTCTCTCTTTCTGTCAATGAAATTTATATATTTTTTTCTCTTTTTCAAACCTGTTTATGATGGTACAACAAATAAAAAAGCAAATACAAAACGGTGTTTGGCTAAAATGTGAAGTTCAAGTACATGCAAGTACACACGAAATTAATTAAATATTAAATATCGACAATTTCCGTACAAATATTTAACAAGCTTTGACACATAAAAACTGAAAAACAAAATTATTACATAAACATTTTTGTTGGATTTTACAGCATGTTGAATTAAATTGAGGGAATGAATTTATAATACAATCTGTAATCTGATTAATTTAAGATGAGTTGGAGATTAGAATTCTGCCATCTCCTGGCTGATTGGGCGCAGGAGTTTTCTCCACGCTGGTGATAAGGTTAAACCGCCTTTACTTGGTCATGAAAGACTCGTTCGTATTAAACAGGGGGTACCACATGAAGAAGAGATTGACATTTGGGAGAGATAGGCTGTATATTCGTGTCACCAATTCCATTTGCCCAGTTTAGAAAAATATGTATAAATATATTGCAAAAATAATTCTCAAATGAGGAAAACGGTGGCATCCACACACCTTCACACACCATATTTACATTTGGGTTTACGTTTTATATCAGAATATGAAAAAAAAATTAAATAATTTCTCATTTAATGCTATTTTTATTAATATATATTTTTTTTTCCGTCTTTCAATAATAACCATCTAATGACTTGTTATCTTGTTTTGCGCGTTGGGTTACTCTGCGCATTCGTACAGGTAGTGAATGAGTGATAGACAGTTTTGGCCCGCTGTTGGAATTTCAAGAATGTCAACAATTTGCCCGTAAACAATCATGTGTAAATAAAATTTTTATTTCATTATTTTTTTCTCATTTGTGTGTATGACCGCTTATATGCAAACAAATAATTCCGGCATAATAATTTAATTAGCGAACAAATTAGCTTTTACTTATATTTACCAAATATCAATTCGAAAATGTTAAAAAACACTTTCTGCTTTCGGAAACATAAAAAAAAAAACAAAAAAAATTATTAAATAAAATAAAAACAAAAATAACCAAATTAAATAAAAACAAAAATTATTAAATTAAATAAAAATAAATAAATAAAATAAAAATAATAGAATAAGTAAACAGTGTTTAATTATCGTAATAAACAAAATAACTTGTCAACAGTGCGTTCAGTTTTGCAATTTGAGCTTAGCTTGCAATTTATGCCAATCGGTTGTCATATAGGTATTTCGCAGTGCTTTGCCAAATTTGACTAAATTGAAGACTTAACCGAATGCGTGTTTAAACTCAAGCTTTTTTCAGCAGTTGGCAATTTTTAGAAAAAATTTTGTGCACTTGTGCATTGTGCATTCCGCAACGCATTTTAAATTACCTTATATTGTTTGGATGCAACTATACTCCAAAATAACTGTAAATTAAAGACTTCAAGGACTTTTAAACTATATGTGTTCGATCAAAATTTGTTATATTTTTCTAATTTTTTTGTCGATTAAAAAATAACTATAAATAAAATACTTAAAGTTTGTGTTCGGTTAGTTTGGTGGTAATTCTGTAGTAATCAAATTAATGTAATTAAATATTTTTCAGAATATTTTTGTTGTTATTGCTATTATCCAAATTGTTTTTAATTATTTTTTTATTTTTTAATTTTTTATCGTAATTTTTATTTGTTAATAAATTTATTATAAAATACAAAAATGGCAACACCATAGAATGTTAGTATTAACTTATGCTGGTACTTAAGTACAACTTCTTTTTATATTGTTCTACAAATTTCACTCACCATCAGGAGGTAAATAATCTTGGCATAGACCGTAAGCTGTGGTAACCTGCAAAAATAAATTAGAAAATACACAGAAATTAATAAATACAACAGTTTCACAATGAGCATAATAAAATTGGTTATCTACAATAAAATCATTCTTGTTTGTCATCTTGTGGTAGTATATATATTAGGAGGGACAAAAACAACGAACATTTTTGGTTTCGCTTGGCATTCTGAAAAACACATATATTCTTAGACACCACTAGGAGAGTCTCTTCAAGCATGAGCTCTAAATTGTAAGGGGAAAGTCCTCCGGCTTAAAGTTTTCTATTTTTTTCATATTATTAGTTAGACATATTCTAAACTCGCTTCAACTACTCGAAAAAATATTTTGTTGAAGTTTTGATTATTTTAAGGCAATTTTTTTTCCTTATGAATTTTATAAATTAATGAAAAAAATTATTATAAATCTGAAAACGCAAAGTTTCGTAGAAAATTTACTGCTCTACAAAAGTATTATCTGGATGTTGGTCCGTTTTGATCCACTCTAATATACTACGTATACATCGAGAGATAAGCGAATTCACAGAATTTTACTTGGTTGACAAGCTTTTTGCCAGCGCTGATTTTTTTTGCTTCAAATCAAAAAGGCAGTTCAATGTATTGTATTTAACAGCATGTCATATAAGAAAATAACGGTATTATATTCTCATATTATATAGGTATGCCGATATGAGCTTCATTCATTTTCCGCGTTTGCTGATAACGTGGAACTTTTTGCTTCAAACTTCAGCTGAGGGTGTTGCTACCACTATAAACCAGTGCAATGCTACCATATATACACGATTTATATAATATATCACTGCTAGCTTTGAATATCATTGCTAAAGTTATTTTACAAACCACTTTTTAATTAATAAAACAAATGTTTGTAAAATACTTCGCGTAATCGCTCATTTCAATTGAATTTAATCGCGCCTCCGCGTCACAAATAAATATCTAACATTTAAATAATAAATTCGAATGCAGCAGGAAAAAGAAAAAAAACCGTTCTCTTGCACGAAAGTTGTCATTAACAAACGACACGAAATCATTTCCGTAACATAGATTTACGGATTTGTGATATTCGGTGAAGATAAATCTTTGGCAAGCGCAGCAGTGCAGCCACGCATACACTCGCACAACTTATGCGTGTATTTATAAATGTGTGTGGTGTGTGTGTGTGTGCGGCCAGGTATTTATGCGGCAGCTAGTCGCTGCTGTAGCCGGTCCACCACCCGCAGTGCGCCACACAATTGTCTGTCGCCGTGTGGCCGCTCGCTCGATTTCCTTCTAATTTATTGCTGAAAATGCATTGATTTACACATTTTCATTTCCGCGCTTAAAAATGTGAAATTTATGTTTGAATATCTTTAGATTGGCTTATTCTAAAATAATTGAGAATGTGTGCATCGAAGAGCGTCTCGGCAGCTCAGTACTGCGCGCTGCAGCGTGGCTTTTACATTTGGAATGAATAGTTTTCTTGGCAAGCAAAAATAGCTCGATGAAAATGCAAATACAAATACAATTTTCGAAAGTTTATAGAATATAGAATATTTATCCACAATGTTCCATATTTAAAGTGAATCATTCCCAAAAGAAATTGCTGAATGAAGCTCTCTTAAACGATAACACCTCTGAATGTTCAAGCAAAGTATTTGGGAAAGCTCCTCTTAGCATGTTAGAATCCCAGTTGCTCAGAGTTTTCTCAATACAACCCTTATGAATGTATTATTTTCAGTTTTGAACCATTTATATATATAATATAACCATTACATGCCCTGATATATATACTCTTAAGTTTATTTCTGTCTCTTTTTGCTTAAACTGCTTAAACTACTTATTTTCCAGGTTCACAGTGCTCCCCGCAAGTAAAAGTTTGCTTAAAATTCTAATATAAAAACCATTAATTCTATTCAAAAATTATTGAATCTAGAACATTTAATTTTAACCTAAAACATACCGCAGTAATTATTAATTTATAAATTTTGAATTTTTCCATAAAAATTCAATTGCTCTACTTTTCCAACCCTTCCATTTTTCATTATTTCGGTTTTTAGTAAAAAAAGCTCATTGATTGTCTCCAAGTTAGTCAGTTTTAGTCATTAACTACTGAATATGTTGGCAAAAGTAATAATTACTGTGTTTGAGAAATAATTCAGCGTTAAACATTTTCAACCCCCCATTACACATCTCAGCCTGTTAGTCTAATTCTGCAGGGTTGTCTTTTATATGTCTCCCCATATTTGTTTTCTAACCATCTCATAAAAGCATAGCTAATTCAATTATTTCAAACCAATTGAAAACACTTTGCGTCGCGCAACCATTTTCCAACCATTAAACGCCTAAAATTTTGCTTTAATACGCGGACACTTACACTTAAAGTATATATATATATGTCTTACAGACTAACGTTCTCTATTCCTCCTCCACCGTTTTTCCATCTTCTCTCTCCATTTTACTTTTATAAACTTTAGTAGGTCAAATTCGATTTCTGTGCGCGACCCGTAAATTAATTACTACTTGAGTAGCCAAGTCTAATTCTATGCTGACAAATTTAACAAGCGTGATGAAAATATATTATTTTCGTTCTTCACGCTGGCTTGAGTCAGCTCTTTACTTTTTGCTTTAGTTCTTTACCAAACATTTCACTATGCAGCCAGCCCCTTTAGTAAGACTTTGACTTTGGTATTACAATCGCGTTTAATAATTAATTACTGCTTAAGTTTGCCGCTGACGGTATCCTTAAAATATTATGCTTGCAACCGAAGCAGTTGGCTATCTACAAAACCGAATGGAAGGGTATTAATTACATGCATTAATTTTAGTACTGTTTTAGAAATGGTTCCTATAATCCTTACTGTTATTTTCAATGACGTTTGTAGCAGATAGCAAAATGTAAATTTGTAACGGTTTTTAGGTATGAGGAGAAATTGAATTGAAATTTTGCTTTGAAAGTAACTTTATGCTAATTTTTATAGTCCTCAATGTAGGCAATAAAGTTTTCGTATTTCGAAATATCAATAAAGTTAGAAAAGTGTTGCCTACAATCAGGCATACATATATAATGTTAGCGGAGTCACATACCTTTTTGTATAATATGCAAACAATACATCAATTTTTAGAATGTCATAACATAACAAAAAATCTAGATATCAATAAAATTTAACTTTTGGTAATCTTTTCGCTCCAACAATCGAAGTCATACACTGATTTTAAATATTAAAAACCTATGCACGTTCAGCTAGCATCTTGCTGAATAAAGTGCTACAAATAGCTGGTACAACGGTTAGTAATGTTACAACAAATTATTGCATCTGCAACCTGCTGCGAAGTATACCTCCTTCACACTTTCACACAGCCATTTGATGAGCCCGTATAAAATTCTGAAGTGAACACAGCCACAAATTCGAAATGGCAGACTAACGATGAACAGCAAGTGAACAAGTGGAACACTGCAACACTGACTTCATTTTACTTTAATGTACTTACTCGCTTGCCATGTGCATCGAATAGCTGGTTACATAATTACGAATGCTGTTATCTGCAAACTTCTGTTGCAGACACTTAGTCATGCAGCTCCTACGAGTACAAGTACTAAGTGAGTGTTGAAAGCAACACAGGCTGCCAAACGGCAAAATGTAGGTTAAAGTCATTTGGGCATTGGACCATTTGCCCGACCGTCATTCGTTGCGACCGTCATTCGTTGCGACCGCTATGACCGTTGCGACCGTTGCTGACCGTTATTGACTTGCTGTGCATCATTTGTCTTTTGCCCGAAAGGTGGCAACGTCAACGTCGTTCGTTTAGGTGTCACGCGCCACATGGCTAATGAGCTTGGCACTTTATGCCATCTACAAAGTATTTAGCAATGAGTATTAATGAGAAAAAAATGTACAAACTGTTTGGTGACATTGGCTCCAATGAATGATGAGGTGATTAAAAAAACATAAAAATTGTTGTTGTAACGTAATTGCCTGAAAATTTAGTTATTCATATTTGCATGATACAACCTTCAATTTAAGTATGTAAATATGTTACATGTTATGTTGTAAGCTTCCTGCCAAAAAAAAATGCAATTACTTCGTTTGAACTATTTTTTTATTTTTGTAAAAAATCATACATATATATTTACTAGTGAAAGCTTTCCAGTAGTAGTAGTAGTAATAGCTTTTATTAAAAAAGCTTAGTAAACAGTTTGCCTAACAGTGTGATAAGGAACTTTGTGGAAATTTATTTCGTTTGTAAAAGTGTAAATTTCAGCTTAAGCTTTTAGTGAAAGCACACAACGAACTGTAAGTTCTATAAGGGACTACAATGATATATTGAAATTGGTATTGCTAATATTGTAGACAGAGAAATATTTTAACAACAAATATTATACAACTGTTTGTGAAGTACTTTATATTTTAGTCTTTCATACTTTTGGCTACATTTCTACAACACAAGCTTGTAGTTTGCAATATTAAAAATATGTATTTCGCAGAAAAATTAATGAAAAAAGCTTTTAAACTTCGGTAAAGAGTTCAAACATTTCTCAATACAATATATCAAGGCAAAAGCTTTTGAAATAGTTCCAGTTCCCTCATAGTTACTTGCCATAGAAGCTCACTGTTCTAGATTAAATTTAGATATGAAAATGTCAACGAAAGGTGAATTTCCAAACTCTTCATGGCCAAGACATTTCTTGGTATAAATTATTACTGTCTTGATTTGTGGAAGCCAATTGCCTCAACCTTTTTTTCCTTTCGCTAATTCCACATGCTGGTTCCGGCAACTTGCTCAGCGAAATGTGTTCTATCTACAAGTAAATTGGCATAAAGTTTAAGATAAAATTGTTATGATTTTATCTGTGAAATTCTTCAAATGCAGTCAACGTGCAACCAAGAGTCGCCCAGACAAGGAGCCAAGCAATGCCACAAATCGTGGTATGCTGCAAAATTGAAAAGGCAAACTGGAATGACGGCGGTGTTAGAAAAACATTTAGCGGCTGCATGTTGCAAGCGGCAACAACTGGTGTGCTAGTGATGTTGGCAGCCTAGTGTGGCAGCCACACATTCTGCGAATGCGCGAATTGAGTTACTCATATTTACATGCAAATACAACACACACACATTTGCATATATGTTTATGATGTCTACCAATACAAAAAGCCGCAAAACAACAACATGAAAACTCGCTGCTGTGCTGTCATGCGTGTGCAAACAATTCGACGAACTTGACGCAACCACCAAGTGGTAAAAGTTGCGCATGTTGTTGGTAGTTTTTGTTGTTGTTTAAACGTTGTTCCGCATGTTGTCGTACATGCTGATTATGAAATTAGAAATTGTTTGTTTGATTATATGCCAGCCAATGAATAGGCGAAAACGTCAGCAGCATGTTAGACGGTCAAATAGTTGGTAATTAATACAAACACATATACATACATTTGTGCCGGGTTACGCATATGTTTACATATCATGCATTTGTGCGGGAAAACGGCTAGAGTTGCCAGTCTGTTGGTTTGTTATTGTATGCTCTTTGTTAGCTAAGTCGCTGTTGTTTTTGTTGTCATTTTGGTTGTCGTTTCTTGCTGTTGTTGCTTGTTTAAGTCACTCAGTCGGCGGTAGACCACTTTTGTGGTTGTGATTTTTTAATTGAAAACCGCGCATGCGTACAAGCCAATGAAAGCGCAAACACACACACACACGTGTGCAAACTCATCGCCGAGCTGCGCGCTTGTGTGTGAAGCGCTTGCAACATGCTCACACAAACAGTTATGTAAAGGTGTTCCGTTTGAGATTTGTTGTTGCTATTTATACTATCACTGCCACTGCTTGCTTTTATCATTTAGAACCTTGACTGACAGCAATGGCACCTCATTTGAAAGGACAGCCAGCTAAATGGTTGTATGTTTAAGTATTGTGGACTTCGGCCCCCGTTAGGCATGAGAGCGCCCGATTGTAACATTGAATTTACGTAAAAGTTGCTAAAATAGCCGCTGCGCAGCTGTTGAGTAGTTGTCTGCAAAGACACCGACGATCTGTCACTTTTTCTCCTCCGCTCTTTCTTTTAACTCACAGGTCACTTATTTACTCATTTTAGCGCTTCCGCGTTTTTTTTGTTTGTAAGAAAACTTGAGTGCTATATGTTTTGACGCTAGAGTTGGCGTGAAGGAATCTGTTGCAAAACAACAAAAGAAAGAAATATTTGCCACAGAAAAACCCAAAACTTTTCGACTGTAGTGGAAAGGGAGCCAAATTGTTGTTGTAACAGCATAAATGTTACCCATATGGTTCAGAGAAACTTTGATGTGGGAGAGTCCTTGACTACACATAAATTCTTAACAGTTCCGTATGTAAATATATTAACTGGACCCTTGTATGAATACTACTTTTTAAAAAATATATATTTAATATAGAAACTACCGACCGTCAAGCGAATATATTGTATTTTATAATATACCACGCTCCAATGCTTCTCATAATAATATTTTTTCTCTTTTTCAGTTTTCGAGTAATAAATCTAGGCCGAAACTGTGGTAAGTCGATTTGAAATTAAAGTATGATATTATAAATAATATATTCTTAATATAAAATTTGGCTTGCTTAAAAGTGCCCCACCATCTATAAGCAATATGTACCGTAAATTAATATAAATATATAACTTTTTAATATAACGAGCATAGCGCCATCTCTATCGATTATACAATATATTCGTTTTCTAAGAGTCTTCAAACTCTCCACTAAACAAAAGTTTTGAACAAATCAAATATTTTTGTTGTCCTATATTGTATTAGTTTTCCAAAAGTCTCCAAAGTCTCCATTAATCGAAAACTTAGAAGAAAATTAAAAATGTTTCCTCTTAAAATTCTTGCAAAGTTTTCGCGCGTTTAAGCATTGCCAACGCCTTTTGCTGTTTCTTCACTCAACGACTCTATTTATTTTTATTTTTTTTTTTCCTTTCCTTTCTTATTTCTTTTTGCATTCTACTTCATCTTTTCGACGCGCCAACATAATATGGTGTTAATTGTGTAGCATTCGTTAGGCTTCATCCGTCACAAATGCACATTCATTTACACTCTCATACATACATACTTATATATAAACTTTCAGCTAAGTAGAGACATATAGTAGGTAATGTGCACACTTTTATGCACTTTTGTATGCGTTCAGTCCTCAGTTCTCTGGCTAGCAGCTTTGAGCAAATGAAGGTGTTGCCTGCTCATTGACTTGCCCGCTTAAGTATGCGCGTCGTCGCCGGACAATCGATGGAAGTCATCTGCCTCACACTTCTGCGCAAATCGCATCCCACTACCGGCTTCCTGCTGAAGCTGTGACATGTTTGTCGCAGTTGTTTTTGTGGTTTGCAAACACACATACATTCATTGCAAACAAAAAAATGCCCTTGCTTTTTTTCTACTACTTTTTATGCTGGTAATGAGTAAGTTAAGTTGTTGCAAGTAGCTTGTTGTGCTACTAAATGCTTGCATCAGTGAATTCTGTAGAAAGTTGAAAGCATGTGGCGTAACTTTTATTTCAAAGTTTTTCACATTTTTAAATTTTGATTATAATTAAAAAATAAGATTGAGTTTCAAACTAACAACTTTTAGGTTCACAACAGCAATTAAAATATTTTGATAACGTTATTTGCGTGTGTTTAGAAGAAATTTAATGTTACAAAATAATTTTGACTTCTCATCGCATGTTTTATTTACTTGTCAGAAAAAATTTAAACACGCGACAGCAGCAGCTCTGAGAAACAACCTGAGTGAATTCCAATAGGTAACTTGCTCGTTACACGTATTTTACTTATTATTTATACGTCCGTTTGATTGACATACATAATTATTCGATTTGAAGTTGCCTACTTCACTAAATTAACCAGCACAAGCCACCGTTCATTCGATTCAGTAAGCTTCATTAAGAGTTGCCAGCTTAACTTTTAAAATTTATAATTTTTTTTTGGTTTTTAATTTTGTAATACTTTTTTAATTACATATTTTTTAAGAGCCTAAGTTATTTAAAAACCTATTTGAAAATTAAATAAAGTAAAACGCATTGCGTTATGGCAACTACTGGCATGCATGCAATATTTTAGTGTTAAAAAAGAACGCAATAATTAAATGCTTTTAAAATAACATAACATATTAGTTTAATTAATATTTTTATTTACACTTTACAACATAGGCGCGTATCTATTTTATTATTTGCTTGTGCATTTGCATAACACCTGCACTCGATTTGCAAAATGTTCATGCTTTTATTGGCAGAACGTCATTAATTTGATAATAGTCAGCGTTAAATTGACTGATGAACATTTTAGGCTAATGGCTAACTGGCCACAGTAGTGTGTAAAAAATTTAAATAATAATTTATATGCGAGTTGTTGTAAATATTTAATTTCACTGTGCAGTAATAGACAGTGAAGGCAATTATTATATTTTTTATTTTATTTTTTTCAAAAAAGCATGCTTATTATTTGCATTTGCAGTTAAAGACAGCATGGCATTTAATTTATCTAACTCAATGCTGTGAATTTCAATAAAATATGAGTAGTTATAAGAGACGATTATAAAATTTTGCTACCGCTATTTTAGAGCACACCACTGTACATCATTTAAGCTTGAATAAACTGGTTAGCGAACAACAACTAAGTAAATCCACACATTTTTTGATACATTAATTACTTATTTAAAATCATGCTACTCTCAATTCATGTTTCCAAAATCCAGTTAACCAGAACTGGACTGGACACTACATAATCATTGCACACAAAAATGACATATCGTAAGCTTACATAATCACATCTTTCCTGTTAAAAATATACGAAAATATTATGCGATACATAAAACTTAATTAGTTAAATAACTGGCGTATAGATTATGCATAAGCCATATGATCGCTTTTAATACATGAAACCAATTAATTTTGATGTCTATTTATGAGTAGACTATACATATGCATATGTGTCTTAATTAGGTGTGATAATTGTGAACAGTGGCGCTTGTAAGAATATTAGTGTTATTGAAATTGATACATTTATAAACACACATGATTGGTTTTGACAGTTCTAATTTAGTCAATTATGTAATGCTTTGCGCTTAACCGACATGTCAACTGATTTTACTAGAAAAATGCAGTGCAGTGTGGCTTTGGATACTTTCTAATAAATCAAAATACCAACTTATTGTATTACGCTGAAAATGCGTCAAATAAGATCAAAGTGCTCAAAAATAGCAATTTTGTTAAGATAAGTGAAGACAAGTGTAGAGTTTCAAAATTTTGAAACTACATTTTTTCTATAAAATAGTCTGCAAGTAAAAAATATTTAAGCTATTTTCATTTCAAAACACTTATTGAAAATGCAAGTGGTGAGTGGAGAGTTTGAAAAAAATTTTAAAATAATTATTCTTGCTTGAAGATAGTAAATTTGCTTGAAACATAACATTTATTTTTTGTTAACGAATAGTGTGGAGACTTCCAACAAAGGCCGAAGCACCTTACCATTTTTATAAGTTGCATGGTCTGTAGACTTAAATTTTATCCAATAAATTACATTTTTTTTTTGTTTTTTGTTATTAAGTTATTAAGTTAATAAAGATTTTGTCCCAAATTTAATTTTTGTAGAGTTTGGTTAGTTTTCCGAGCAGCTTACACAATGGTACGCTGTTTCTCAATCCTTCGTTGTATGTGTTTGAAATTTGTATCATTATTCATAATCCAGCCATTTGATAAAATTTTAATTAAAAGCTCAATAATTCAGCTACACCCAAGTCACACCTTCCTTAAGCGCAATTTACGACTTGCTTGCAAATAGTTTTTTAATTACAATATTTCTGGCTTAAATATTATTATTGCTATAAATCAGCAGGTTCTAAACAAAAGAGTTACCACCTTTTCTCGTTAGCGCTAAAAAGCTGTAGGCCGCAATTTAATTTATAAAATTCCATAAATGCCAGCTTCAAGAATTTACACAAGTGCGCACACAAACACACATGTCTAAAAGTTTATTAAATCGCGAACATTTTACGCACAAAGCTGGCAGGCAGCACCCGAAAAAGACGGCTGGTGATAATAAATTTCTTGTAAATGTAATTTATTATGCAATTAGTTAAACACTTAAACTGGTATGCGCAACAACAACAATAACAACCAAATATGCGAGAAAATAGAATAAGAAGACGAGGAAAGCGAAGGGAGCTAACGAAAAGCCGTGTTAACATTGAGAAAAGGCTGCAACGCCGCATACTCTTGCGCTTGGTTTTCGCCTGAGACTGCACAACACGGCGTATACGTAACATGCTATACAATGCGCTGTGCTGGAACAAAGTGAGTCTTTACAAGAACATTCGCTTAAAAAATGTGAAATTAATTGCAACATCTGTTGTTGACATTAAAACGCACGTCAAGTTTAATAGCGCTTACCCGAAACACCCGTGTTCGCTGCCCCGCCAACATGTGGTGCGCAGCGCCAGCAACACAAATGCTCTCGACTGCTACATGTACACACATAGTTGTGTTAGCGTGTGTATGTGCGTTGTAGGCCGCACTTGAGCGCTTGCCATTCGCAGTATGCGGAGCACTTAAGCGCCAAAATGGCATGTTGAATACACAGTAGAAGATGAAGAAGAGGAGGCGGAGTTGAAGCAGTAAGAGTAGGTGGGCTTGAGTCAACTTGGCGCGACTTGAATTTTCAATGTCACAATAAATATGCAAGTAGATGTGGTATGCACGTGCATGTGTATGCGTTAGCTGTGGAATGGTCTCTTTGCCGCCGGTTATTTCCTTACATAACTGGGAAGGCCTAAAATGGCTGAACATGACCTTGAACGCATAACTGACGCTCAGCGCGCATACAAACAAAAAATGCCGAGAGCGGTGGACTTAGCGGAAAAGTTTGCTAAAAACACACTCGAAAATGGAAAAGCGCTGCTCAGGAAAATGTAAACAAAAGGCAGTTGGAAAAAAGTTTTGAATTTATGTTTCCAAGTGATCTACAGCCACGGCAAAATGCACACACATATCTAAACGTTTGCTGGCGCGCATGTGGGCATATATTCACGGTAGGCTGCCCTCTTTCAACCGTTTACCTAAGCATGCAGTTTCGTTTTGCTACAATTTGTGGCAATAAATTGTTCTAACAACTTCTCAAAGTGGCCATAAATGCGAATGCAAGTCTCATTTCAATTGTATTTATCCGCGCACAAATTTATGTATCCGTTGGAGTATTGCACCTATATGCCGCTGAGTTATTGCACTGTTATATACATTTGGAATGATTTATATGCAACTGCAATGCGTATAAATCAACTGAAGTTAGGCAACTTGTGGTATTTGCTGCTACCAAACGCAGTTGTGGCTGCTGAGTGGTGGCGGGTTACTTACTTACTTTAATTTTTGAATGCGCGCGTGGATGCTGATAACTCTTATGGCTGATTTATGACAAATTAAAAGAAATATTTGCGCCAATATAATAATAATTGCGAATATTAGCTGCTAAGTGGATACGTAATATCAAAGATTAATACAAAGTTATTTA